GATAGATAGATAGATAGATAGATAGATAGATACTGGAGATGATAGGAGATAGATAGATAGATGATAGATAGATAGATAGATAGATAGATAGATAGATAGATACTGGAGATGATAGATAGATAGATAGATAGATGATAGATAGATAGATAGATAGATAGATAGATAGATAGATAGATACTGGAGATGATAGGAGATAGATAGATAGATAGATACTGAAGATGATAGATAGACAGACAGACAGACAAAGGTAGCTAAGGTAGGGTGAAAACCTAGTAGGAATAATTGTGTGAAACGGTTAAACAGAACCTAGGTTCAATTTATATTCTTGTTGTACATCACACGTTTTATGCATATTTTATGTTTTATCTGACAACTACTGAATGTATTATTGCCATGTGAGGGTTTTTTCCTTGACACAGGTGAATTAAAGAGACAAGATATCCAGAACTATTCAAGTTGCTTAGATTGAGAAACACTGATCTAATGTCATGTCTGCCTAATCCCTGCATGAAACTATGCAACCTGTTATTATAATCATTCAGTCAGCTCCAAATATTAATTCATGAAATAATGTCTGAGGGAAGATGAACAGAATATCGTTCCTTGATGCTTAGAGATATTATGTTAGCGTTCCAGCAGGAGAAAATGTCATACCTTCATAGTGCCGTTTGTAGGAATTGATTTATGTACATATGGAGTGGCACAGATGAACAGTGCACACTCCACACTGTGATTGTGTAGATCTTTCTTCAAGTGGGTATTCTGTTGGAAGTTATGTGCAGAGAACCAGTTCATATAAGTGTCACTTCTGTTTAGCTTCTCTCCCAGGAGGACTGTATATATTCAGTATATTCTGATATATTCATCATAAGTAAAAAGCTCAGCTACCTGGGGTCATCTTTGTGCTGATAATATGTAATACACTTTTGCTAAAATTTCCTGTTTTCTATGATGCTAGTATACATTTCCCCGAAACTGTGCAAAAGAACATTTAGAATCTTTTTGAGGTCTGCGTTTAATTTGGAAACAAGCAGGTGTCGGATTAAAAAAAGTACACCAGTTTCACTATACCTTATGTTCAGGCTTTATATAAATATAATTAAACTGTAGGAGATCTTAAGTCAGAAGTTAACAATGAAGATTCAGCCCAAAATGAGATTTTGTTCTGCGTATTAAGATAAGCTTTTGACAGTAAGCACATCATAATCACAGCGCTTGCTTTTGGGAAAAGGAATATTTGGGCTCCAGTGCATTAATGCTCAAGAAACATTTGCAATCCCCATCTTAAGCCTTTCTCTAACTTTAAAGAATATATTTTCTAAAACAGAATAGGATTTTGTTACAATATTACTGTTTTGTTTCTTTTGTGCTTTCTAACAGAAGTCATAGTTGCCTCCGCAGCGACTAGGTTAACCTTGTTAATTAATATAAGTAGTTATGCATGTATTTATTCGAAGCTCTAGTACTTCTCAACCTTGGCAAGTCTAAGATGTGTGGACTTTCAACTCCCAGAATTCCCCAGTCAGCATGCCGGCTGGAGAATTCTGGGAGTTGAAGTCCACACATCTTAGACTTGCCAAGGTTTTAAAAACGCTGCACCAGAGACATTCACAGCATTTTGAATCCAACTGATTTGAATTCAAAACGCCGTGTCTTCAACGTAAGACATTTAGTTTTGAATGAGGGGTGAGCACTTGAAGCATGTAATGGGGTTTTTTCCCCCCCTCCCCATCTTCTTTGTCTATTTTACATCAGGAGAAGGGTGCCATTTCGTGCCTGAAACAAAGCGTTTTGAATTTTTAAACCTTCCAGGTTGAAACAGTTCGCGCTCCACGAGCAAGCATTTAACCTGCAATTCCCCGTTATCAGCTTTTCCTGACAAGCTGCAGCCCGTTGTTCTTTCTTTATCAGATCGGGCTATACCCTAAATGACAAAACCAGTTTGTCACATTAGCAGGTTGAGTTGTCGCTTTCACTTTGGCGATGACATGTTAGGTGGCAACATGTCAGTTCGGCACGTTAGATAAACCAATTTGCCACTTCTGTTAGCAGGCACTAGTACGTAGGACAAAACAGTATATATATATATCTTGCTTTCTTGCCTAGGATAAACTGAGTGCTTTTAGATCTTTCGCTAAAAGTTGGTTCTTCTACTTCCTCTGCTGCCTTTCTTGTGCTGCCCGGGTGTGTAAAGTTTTGGGGCCAGAAACAGCAGGCAGAGCCGGTAAAAGCTCTCTCTCCTTGTGCATGGGTGCTTCGTAACTGTGCTGAGTTTGTACACCTTGCTGCTAGCTGTGTTTTTTCCCCCCTTTCCCCCTTTTCTCCTCCCACAAACACACTCTGGGCAAAAAGCCACCGCCACTTTTTTTTTGTCAAACGGTATTGTCTCCATTTTTCTGTAACGTCAGCTTGCTTCAAACAGGCTGCCTCGGCCGGAGTCTTAAATATACATATATTTATATATATTTAAACCCACAGTGTTTGGTTCACGTTGACATCCGGAGTTCATTTGTCCTGCGAGTGGCGAGTGGGATCACAAGGGAATTGCAGCCAGATTGATTGACGCTTCTGATTTTGGGCGCAGTGAGGGAGATTTCTCAAAAGACCCAACCTAGTGGGAGAGAAAAGGTGGCGGGGCCCATAGTCAAACTTCTGCTGGACTTCAGGGTGCCGTCTCTTTTGTAGATCAGGGATTGCAACATTTAACATTCCTCAGACAAGAAAGTCATATTTCATCAGCGGTGGGCATGTTTGCCCTAATTAAGGACACTGATTAAGGTGGGAATACAGGTAGCTCTCAACGTGCGATCACAATCGTGCCCAACATTTCCGACCATTCATAGAGGCAACAGCATTGCAAAAAGGGACTTGCAGTCGGTCCTCGCACTTACAACCTTCGCAGCATCCCTACGGCCATGTGTTCAAAATTCAGGTGCTTGACAATTGGCACGTATGTATGACAGTGACAGCATCCTAGGGTCATGTGATTGCCACTTGCAACCAGTTTCATCATCGTCTTTTAACGATCCCATAATCCCTTGTGGGATGGAATCTGGGCAACTGAATGGAGCTAAGCAGAGTGTTTTAATGGCCGGATGCTGCTCCTGTTGCCAATGCGGAGTTTTGTTCAGCTGATATATTCTCATTGTGCCCAGAGAGAGAAATATTTGCCTCTATCTAGGATCGAACTCACAGCCTCCTGGTTGTGAGGCAAGAACTCTACCTTTAGGCCACCGCACCACTCAAACTCCTGCCAGTTTCTGACAAGTAAAATCATTGAGGGAAGCTGGACTTGCTTAACAACAGCGTGATCCACTTAACAGAAGGATTTTCTCAACAACCATGGCCGAAGTCTTAAAAATCAGGCACAACTCATTTAACAGCCACTTTGCTTAATTACAGAAATTCTGGTCCCAATTCTGGTCGTAGATCAAGAACTGCCGATAACTTCTAGAAAAATCAAGATGCAAGTCGCTCCATTTCTTTTTTTTTTTTTCTCTTTACAACTTTGGTTAATCATCTTCCCTTTCATTTGCCAGGGACTCACCAATCCTCTTTTCAGTTGTTGTTTCAGAATAAGGCTCCTGAACGTACAGATAGTCCTTGATTTACAACTGGTCTCTTAGTGTGGATGCCTCGTTTAATGGCCAGGCTCCATTACGGTTGTAGGTCAAGGACTGTCCATAGGTCTCCCTTTCACTTCAATGGAAAGCCCCAGCCCAAGGATAAGTAACAGCCCTACTGTCTTGTGTATTTCAGTGTCCTGTCCCTTTGTGTTCTCGTGTCTTGTGCTTCAGGCTGACTCTGTCGCTTGTCTTGGACAATGCTTAGGACTTGGTCTCTTTTTTTAAAAAAATATGAATCTCTACGGGATGCTTTGTGGAGTGGTACGTGTCAGGTGTGACCTGCGGGGAGGAAAAAAAACCAAAAGTGTTAACTGATTTTTGTTTTGTTTTGTTTGCTTTTAACTAGGCTTCAGAGTTAGGTCAGAGTTTAAATGAAAATGTTCTCAAACCTGCACAGGAAAAGGTAACTTTGGAACGAAGTACATGGCTTTTAAAATGCACTTTCCTTCTGAACTGAGTAAGCTTATTCAGTGTGAATTATGTGTATTTGTAACGTCAGTGTCAACCTACGACCCCAAATCTCATCACTTTATAGGTCCTGTCCAAAGCTTCCTGGGTTATATTTCAAGATATCAACCGATAGAAGAGAACATTTTAGCTCAGGGTTGAACTGTGGGGTCCTTGGTGCTCTTTGAGTTTGGCTGTTGTTTTCTTGCAGATATTTCATGACCCAACTAGGTAACATCATCAGTGCTAAAAGGAGTGGAGTTTGCTCTGTTTATATACAAGTGGTTTGTTTTATCAGTGTTGGTGGGACTTCCTTCTTGCACTGATGATGTTACCTACTTGGGTAATGAAATGTCTGCAAGAAAACAACCAAGCTTAGAGAGCATCCCAGTAAATTGATAGCCAAAATTCTGACTTGCTGATTCAGGTCAGTGTGCAATGTTGCTTTTCCCATTCGTCTTTCCCTCTTGTTCAGACCTTCTGTCTCAAATTCCTAATTCTTATATTGCACCAGGATTTCAATTTTTCTAGAAAAAAAACCTCAAGGTGGAATCCAGTCTCTCCTTTCCTCCCCCCACCACAACAGCCCCTAAGGTAGGTTAGTTTGACCAAGATCAGCCAATGACATTTGGGTTAAACCAGCTTGTACCTTGGTTTGACTTTCCCTAGTCACTCCTAAGAGCTCAACCCAACCCTCTTTTGTCAACTGACATATTCCCTATCAGCAAATTATGACACTGGGCCCAAGGGAACAAAAAATAACTTTACTTTTGTAGAACAATCATGGAGTATTTCAATGGCTCTATATTTTTTAAGAGGCAACTGGACTTTCTGGTTTTTCTTTGAAGACGTTTCGCTTCTCATCCAAGAAGCTTCTTCAGCTCTGATGTGAAGCAAAACATTTTCAAAGAAAAACCAGAAAGTTCAGTTGCCTCTTGAAAAAAAAAACCTTTGGGACAACCATGACCTGGATGACTGAGAATCTCCATTGAAAATGGTTCTGTAGTATGGATTAAAAGCAAATTGCAATGTGTTGTTTCTTTTAGGATATATCGCTATGTTGCATGACTGTTACTTGAGAATGAATGTATGCGGGGAAATGCTGGTTTACCGCATCTGTTTGCAACCCTTCAAGTTGGAAGCTTACTTATTTGGCTGGAGGGCTCTGCAAACTTCCGTGATAAAAGCACGTTGGGGTGACTGTACTTCCCCAAGAATTGTGTCCTGTATTGCTAAAAAAGAAAAAAGAAAGAAAGAAAATGTTCAGTCTTTGAATGATGAGTGGCAAAATAACCAAATATGATAGATGCCCTCTAGAAAGACAGTATGTCTAAATTAGATGCAGAATAAATTGTCCCATTCAGTTGTGTGCTTGAGGGTGAATTCTGGACATCAGGCTACCAAAGAGAGTACAATGAACTTCTGCATGCAGAATTCTACTTAGGGTCACTCTTAAGAGACACAACCTTCTGCTTTATACTGATCTCAATTCTTTAATAATTTCTCTCCCTCCCTCTCTCTCTCTCTCTTTATATATATATATGTATGTGTGTGTGTGTGTGTGTATGTATGTATATGTATATATACACACACACACACACATATATACATACACACACACAGCCATCCATCTATCCATTTCTCTCTCTTCTCTCTCTCTCTCTCTCTTGATACATATGTATATATATTGGTCTAAGTGGGGTTCCTTCTTTGTGTATCTTGGGGAGATGCCCTAAGCTTTATGGTCTCCCCAAGATACACAAAGAAGGAACCCCACTTAGACCAATAGTCAGCTCCATAGGCTCACCTCTACAAAACCTAGCCAAATTTCTCGCCAAACAACTACAGCCCTATGCAGAATCCATCAACTCGCACGTAAGAAACTCATTCCAGTTCATCGAGATCATAAAGAAACAAAACTTACAACTCAGCGACCTACTAGTGAGCTTCGATGTCATATCCCTCTTCACCCAAGTGCCTATAAAAGAAGCCTTGACAGCCATCCAAAACAAATACAACCCCCCCCAGCACATCCTAGATCTGACCAACCACTGTCTATCCAATAGATACTTCACCTACAACGGACAAAAATACAAACAAATAGAAGGAGTACCCATGGGATCACCCCTCTCACCTGTCATCGCAAACCTCTACATGGAACACTTTGAAACACAAGCTCTAGAAAAATATGATCACAAACCCAAACTCTGGCTCAGATACGTAGATGACACCTTCATAATCTGGCCACACGGGAAAGAAAAACTGAACAACTTCCTCACACACCTCAACAGCCTACACCCCAAAATAAAATTCACCATGGAAACAGAAGCTAACAGTCAACTTCCCTTCCTAGATGTCTTAGTATACAAAAAATCCAATGGCTCCCTAGGACACACCATCTACCAGAAGAAAACACATACAAACCGCTATCTACATGCACTCTCACACCACCACCCAGCACAGATCAATTCCGTAGCCGAGACACTCATCTCCAGAACAAAATGCTTAGCTGACAAACAACACCTAAAAACCAAACTACACACCCTCACTAATGTACTAACAGCCAATGGATTCCAAAGAAAGAAGATTACCCACCTAATCCAAAAAGAAACCCCAACCAAAATCCAAGACAGAGAACAAGAGAACGGCAAAGCCCTCCTCCCATATATAAAAGGCACTACAGACAAAATCAGCAAGATCCTCCAAAAACACAACATTAAAACAGCATTCTGCACAAACAGAAAAATATCCACCATCCTAAGAAACCCTAAAGACAAAATCGAGTTAGAAAACCAAGGAGTATACGAAATCCCTTGCACCGCCTGCCCCACCACATACAT